ATTGTTCCAGGTTTGGGGTTGCCCCATCGCTTATTATGGCTTTTGGCATCGCATTTTTCAAATCACTGCAATCTCCACAATTTCAGCTTTTTCCCCTTAAAACTGGTTTGTAGTTGTATAGCATTGTGAGGTAACGTTGCTGAGTCGATCTGGACTCGAAATAGGGATTGACACTAGGGAGGGGGGATGGGGAGAGTCTGAGCTCAACGCCACATTGACACTAAGCATAACAAATTCAAAAGTACATCTTTTGGAGGATTGACAACGCCAACAATCTTCTCACAGCTCCTCTCGATGATAAGTGTAGGTACCAATATCATAAAAATCACTGGCCAGCGAAGCGGCGTCCAGACTCCATACCCTGCATTGGGCGCTTGGGACCGCAGCATTCCACAGCATTCCACAGCATGAGCCGGTGGTTGATGACAATCGATGGTACGTCCAAGTTGTAGAACCGTGGCTGCCGGTGAATGTCCGACCATCGCCTATTGGCGGCACCGTTTCGTGCCCGTTCACCTATATACACATATTCACCTATTCTTTCACAACCTGCGTCCCCCGCATAGACCATAAGCTTGGCTGGTGTCGCAGCGAGGGATGTATTCCCGTGGTGGATAGGTCCATCGCCCAATGCCGCCGTGCGGCGGACACAGTGTAGACTGTGGACCACAGGAGATCTCCTGTGGGAACACATTCTGGATATTCTCCAACAGGGAAGCAGTCTTCCGCACTTCTCCAACAGTCGCATTCTGGCGCCACTGGGCGCAGAGCCACCTCACATAGGGTGATTCTTGGAGAACCCTACATGCCCCGAAGGCACCGTGGTGACGGCCAAAACCACAGGCAGGAACCCATCCCAAGGTAAGCTCCAATATGCGCAGGCAGACATGCTTATGGGCGCTCCTCAACTGGGGCGTCACTTTCCGGTCATGCACATGTAGGGCAGGGGTGCCAAATAAAGTACAGGTCATGCAACTGTTCAGGTCGGGATCTCTACACAAAGGATATCAGCTCTTTCGTTTTTGACGCGATGCAACCGTCAGATGGCAGATCCCAGCCATGCAATTTGTCTGGTACAGTGGCGAAGGACGCTATGGGAGACATGCATCATCGACTCAATTTGTAAATTGGGTGGAACAAGGTTCCCGCCAAGCAGAAGCCATTGCACATTCATGATGGATGAAGTGCGGCAGTTCGTGCAAAAGGGCAGAATTTGAAAAGTCGATGACGAAGTCGGGTGACGAAGTCGGTTACAAATTGCCAACGAATTCCACCAAGATATCCACTGCCCCTGCGATTGGAACCTCCAACTAAACAAGAAATAGCGACCCTTTAATTCTACTGACCCCAGCGTACCACCTACTACTACCGCACAGACCTTCTAAATGCCCTAATGATAACCCCACTCCAGTGTCGACTGGCCATAATCAGCTTGACTGCACTGTACGCAAGTCCGCAGGATGCTGCCCTGCATCGATCCAATGGCAAAGGGCTCGCCCCTGACGGCCGCATAGCAACCTGCGCCCCGGCCTAACCAAACAGCTAAATGAAATGGGGCGTGTCAAATCCAACAAATCTGTTCCCTTTCAATCCCACCCCATCGCTTCCACTCCAGTGCAGCAGATGGGCTACTACCGGGGGTAGGCACCATTGTAGCCTACGACGTCGAAAGAAATGCTCGCTGCTCACGGCCGAGCTCGCAGCGCGTTGGCAATGCCCACCCAACAACGACTTGGCGTGCGCCGCTGAGCTCTGCAGAAGTCACATCGTCGCCAACGCATAAACCCACATATTCATACCGTGCCTGGCGACTAGCCACGTCTCCGATCAGTTGCGCCGCCAGTCTTGACGAAACGTGAAAGAATGAAAGATAATGCCTGGACCGTCGCGCCGGCCCCCGAAGCACAGCATAGCCACCAGCTGCTCGTTCCGCAAAGTGCATTGTGGTTTTGTCACTCTCTTGAGCGCCAAAGCCTGTCTGCTTGGCCTGGGGAAAGTGTGACACAGTCGCTTCGACAAGCCATGCTGCGGCAACCTTGCCTGGTCAAGAATCGGTGTCTCATCTCTGCTGTCTCTGTTGTACACATGCATCCATTTGGCTGACAGTCGGGGCATTGAAAAGGCCCTGAGACCTAACGTACATTACCCTAATGAGCACAAAGGCGACGCACGCTGGCTGCCCGGAAGGTCACACTTCAGCCCATGCCACGTCCGGGAGACTGTCTCGCCAAACCCTCCAGCCGTCATAGTCGTCGATTTCGAATTCACCCTCCCCTGTGGAGCATGGGACCGTGGAGTTCGACCACTTGCCGGAGACCTCATCGTGGTGGAGCCGGTATTGATACTCCGGGGCGTCAATGTCCAAGTGCTTCACCTATAGGCCGGCACCACGCGCTTGCTCACACCGTGGCCACTTTATGCAAGCAAAGTGAAACAGCATGCCCAGCTACTGGAAGTGTGTAGGCAGCTGAGAACATGAAATGGTGGGCGCTGCACGTTGCGCAACTGGACACATTTCGAGTCAAGCGCCCATCAAGCCAATCTGGGTAGAGGTTTTAGCAACTGGGGCTTTGCCCTTCTGTGCCCTCAAAGCTCGAAATGGTGCGCCACCCAATAGCCGGGTGGGTAGGAGGCAAAACTGTGAAGTTGTGCAGTGCCCAAGTTGCTGACTGGCTTGGAGGTAACTTCTTAAGAGGTAAGGACCGCAATGCCTTCCCGAGTGCGAATTTCAAGGGACCAGGCCTGGTGTCGCTATATCGCTTCAATATTGAACAGTCAACACCTTTCCTGACAGCCAGGAAACTAACGAGGGAAACACCTCGTGGCCTCTTCACCATCAGCAAAGGAACCTTTGGCATGCCTTCGCATCATCAGGTTAGTATCTACTGTTTTGATTCTTTCCCTGTCAACAGCACTTTGTCCCTGATGACAGATATCGAGCAAAGCACAATGCCCTTGTGCCCATTAACGGCACATAGTGGATTATCAAAATACTTAGAATGCAGCAGTACATCCTCACTACCGCAAGCACAAAATATGCAACACACAAACTGTCGCACACCTGTCATGGCACATGATCAACACCAACTATGATGTTGCGACAAATTCCTATGTCACAATTTGGCAAATGCAATCAAAACAGACTTCCAAGGGTGGTTGTGCCAACGGCAGTAGTTTAGAGCCAGCAATAGTTTAGGTTGGGGACAACAAACTTCTCAAATGCATGGGACCGACTGTGTTCGTACAATGGTGTCAGTTGAGCATCCATTCCAAGCCGACTTGAACCCCCAATGGTTGTGCCATTCGACCCGGTCAGCAAGTAGAGCGCCGACAACTGTGTCCTCCCAGGGTAGGAGGGCCCACCATTTTGGGCGCCTGTCACAACAGCACACGTGCTGAGGAGCCAGCAATAGGAGTCTCAGCACTGCTCAGTAGGTGTATGGGCAGCCCTTTTTTGTATTTCCAAGAATGAGTGCCAAGCTGAACTCGAAACAACAAAGGCATGCTGTAGTCAAGCACAGGCCTGTAAATGTTTCACTTTGTCCACAGCTCAAAGAAACTGACAACGCCTTTATGCAACAGAAACAACATGGTGAAGGCCGCTGGGCATCTTTCCCATCTTGATGCACAGTGAAATCTAATCAATAAATCACAAAGAGGTGGGGAAACGCTTACCCTTCAGGGTTGACAGTATAGTTTGCTGCTCGTTGAACTGCATGCTCTGCCATATCACGAGACATCAAGTACCCCCAGCCCAGCAGATAAGTCATTCCAATTGGGGCAACGTCATCAGGCAGCTCTTCTTCAGTCAGATACCACCTTAAGAGAAGGCAATGGAATGGTCAGTCAAACTTCCTAAGTGCATTATTCACATATGACAATCAAACAGAACTTCAAACGACCATTCAGCTGAGCAAAAGATGCACGATCCTGGGGCAAAACATTCAATACAGGTTTAGCACATATCACGACTTTGGTGGTGGAAGAGCAGCTTCTGTTGAATTGGCACAGACACAATCAAACCAGACTCCACGCAATCCCAGCGACATAAGCATAGAAGACAAGGTCAGTAACTCATACTTATGCACAGAATGCTGCAAGCCAGGATGCAACTGGACAAGTTCGCTTTATGCATCATGCCCAGATAGGAAACAGCATGCCAGTTCCCATGCTCTACAGGAGGGCCCAGAACAGCATCACGGCTCAAAACTGCCTCAATGCACTCCATTGCACTGTTTGTAACAGGCCAATGTAGACACAGGCAAGACCCTATCAGCACAATCATGACTGCCAGGTGCTGCTGTTCAGAGTACATACTTCCACTTATCTTGTGCCGGCCAAGAACCACCCAAGGCAACCAAACATAAAGCACCGTATACAACCGCCGGGTGTTCAAGCTCCTGGAACAGGTTCATTTGATGCAGTGCTCAACAACGCTGCAGCCATGTTCATGAATCAACGATCTGGATGCGATGCCATTGACATCAACATTTTCTGCAATTGTCGCACAAAACTTGATGCAACATACATCTGCTGATATGCCCACCCTACAGGATTGCATCGTCGTCACCTGGCAAACGTCTGGGCAATGTGGTGGGGTGTTGTGGGATCGTAGTAGGTTTGGGCAAGCCCTGTTCCGTGAGCAGACTGCAACAGGACACATCTTCTCCAGGAGTTTCCATATCATCTTTGTTGTGCAAGGACGACAGGACCAGATGCCAGACAAGGTGGTCTGTGTCCACCCTGTTGATGACAATACACAGCTGGCATCTACAAGGTACTGGTGCTGTGTGCAGGCGACTGATTGCATCTATTGGACGAACTCCAAGTCAACCAGGATCGGAGATTGGCTATAAACACAGTCAGGCGTTGTGATCTGCTCACAGCCCTATATTTGGAAGCCACCAGCTGCCCCGCCAATGTCAGAGCACAGTTTGATTGCAAACTTAGACAAAAGCAAATGAAGCTAACGAATTCAGCCGATGCCATGGTCGCAGATCTTACTTGGACTTTGGGTTGCGGTCAGGATAGAATCCCATCCATTCGCCTTCCCAGGCCCCTTGCAGTTGTCCGGCATACATTTCATGCATCCATGGCACTTCAGCTGAGGCAGAATTGATACACACAGCCACAGTTAGCAAAGTTGGCTCCCAGGCATCTGCCACATCATGCACAATTGGCAAACCCCTCTGCTGCAGCACCGAAGTGGCAATTAGCAAAATGCCAATTCAAACATCACCACAAAGTTAACCCCACTAAGATGACCAAGAAGGAACATTTGGACCTGACATTGAACGGTTGCATTGTTCAATGAAGAGTGGCACCGGGCCACCCAGCAGTCCTTACATGGAATTCCATCTTTCTGTTTGTGGCCCTCTCCAATCATCTTCATCAGGTTGTCACCCCGAAGATAGCAGTCATCGTCGATTTTCAGCACATGGGTGTAGTTACAAGGGCTGCAGGGTACACAAGAGCACACAGGCACAATGCTGTCAGGAATATTCTCCTGTAAAATTAGAAACTGCAGCATGCAATATATTATAACACTGCGATGATCCACCAAAATCGAATGGTGAAGTGTGGGCTCTGATAAGAACAGTCGATTTTGCCTCTCAGTGTACCTTACCTTTCAACTGCATATTGGAGCACCTGCAGGGACTTCCTGGGAAGTTCCAAATAGTCCTCTTTCCCAGGAAGGACCACAATGTCGTTGTACATTTTGATCTCGCCCCTCAAGGCATTGTAAGATTCTGTGTACTGCTTAGGGTTTGGTGGCTGTGCAACAAAGAACCGTGCATCCATGTAGTCGGGGTACTCGCTGTTGACACCAGCCATCCACGTCTTGCGAATGGCATCGCGATTGGTGAAGGCCTGGTAACACAATTATTGAATCATACTTCACTTCAACTGCCTTGATGGGACAAAAAAGGGTGTGTAACTCACCGAAATTCGATCTCTGGCTACTCCACTTGGTTGTAAATAAAACGCTTGCATAGTTCAAAGTATACTGTTATGCATGGAAATTGTTCATAACTCTATCAAGTCTGGAAATGGACCAAAACATAACTCCACTAATGGGAGGCACTATGAAAGTGTACACCCATATCAATTGACCTTAAAAGGGGGTTCCTGGACCTGTGCTGCTAAGAGATTATGTTATTGGCATCATTTCGGCATAGAGTCTGAAGATATACAAAACGCTGCTGATCCAAGGCGTAAGGCTCGTAACTTGTTCCAAACCCCCCTCAAGCGTTCAAACTTAAATGAAGACCACAGAATACGCCAAACAGACACCCATCGGGGCTGCCCCAATCACTGAAATGGCATTTATAATAACGTGCTTCAGCGTATTACAATCGCTACAGTTTTCGCAGTTTATGTTCCTTAAAAACACCTTGATATTGTCTAGCTCTGTTATGTAAGTATGCTGAGTCATCCTGGCATCGACATAAGGATTGACGCTAAGGGGGAAGGGGGGGGGCTTGGCATCAAATTGACACTAAGCATACCCAAATCGACATAGCATCTTCCCTAACAAGGAAATGATGGTCACTGCAATTGCCCATGTGCCGATTACCTCCTCGACACATTATGTGCAACCCAAGATTCACAACAATCGTTGCACATACATTCCCGACAGAATGCAGATGGTGCCTGCCATGTTCAATACGATGCACTGCCAGGAATAGAAAACAATTTTGACAGGCCAGCAGAGTCGATTTTTTGGGGCTGTACAAGCTGGCAGCACACACAAGCATTCACCAGCATTTCCATTTTGACAATCGGTTGGATCAAAGTGTATTCTGTTGATGTAAACTGTGTGGAACGTCCTGCTTACCAGCGAGCCACAGCATCTCGAAACCACAGCAATCATCACACGAATATGGCCAGTGGGGCACCGTGCTGCAGCCCCACTCCTATCCAGCAATAATCCGCCTGCGCTGCTGATGGCTGCTGGCACACTGGGTGGCTTGTACGTTGTGGTAGTGAACGCCCCTGCAGCTTCCTGCAGTCAGCGCAGCACAAGGGAGATGAAATCCACACACAGTCCTCTGGTGTCCAATGCTGAAACGAAGAAAGGGAAAAAGGCAATGCCAGATGTTGCGCCCTGCGATTGTACTCTTCGACCATCACCCAATATCCCAATCCATCTGTCATCCTGCCTCTTGCATCCCGTCTTGTCACAGCTTGGCAGATCAGCCACTACAAGGTGTCAGGCACTAGGAGAGGCAAACAATCGTTAAGAATTCATTCTCCTCCTGTTCCAACACTCTATTGCCACCTTGATGCCCTTCCTAACACCACCAAGAAGCCCATCCTGTATACAGAGCTAACGGAACCTGAGGGGACGCCACAGTATGATCTTAGTGGCATGACCGGTCACAAAGATTGATGAGAGCCACAGGAACTGCTTCAAAGCCAAGCAATCTGCCAAGCCTTGCTGCTGTACAATGTGCACGCCACCACCACCACCCCTCCAAGAATGAACCCCAATTCTTGAGTAGTTTGTTCGCTGTTCCTCAGAATAAGCCCTGTATCTCGAATGCTGAGTGTAAATTGACTAGAATCGTTATGAATGTCATGTTTAACGGCAGTCGCCCAGCACCCTTCGATGGGGCCCCAGATTCAGGACTTTTCATTCTTCAGGTGTCCATATACCATAGACTATACGGCAGCTCTAAGTCCCACCTGGGGTCATCAGCCAGGACTTGGGATTTCTGCAGCTGCCCCAAGGCCGCTCTACAGTTGCTCCGCGACCCGCCAAACTCGTGCGGACAATGACGTCCGTCATCGCCCCTCATCCGCCGACGCAGCGGATCGTCGCGTGACGTCAGACGCATCAATCGCCGACTATGGCCCTTGTTGGCATCCGTAACAACGGGCCAGCGCCAATTCTTGTCGGCCAGACCGACATTTCGGCAAAAGATCGAATTCAGTCAAAGTGTCAATTGCCCCTGGCTAGGCCCAAGAAGCCTTCTGGCCGTTCCCAAGTTGCTCCAAGCCCAGAAAACGCCGAGCGCCCGAACACTCAACCCCCCTCCCCCCTTCCGCGGACCCCACCCCACCACCACCACCACCACCACGCACACCCCACACACCCCAGCTCACACTCCACATACGCACATCCCTCCCCACTCGTCCCCATCCCCGTCTCCGCTCACCATATCAGAGCCATCAATCTCCTCCTCCAGCTGCCCCCCGCCGTCCCCACCCGTGCCCCGCCCCCTAGCGTACCGCCCCCGCGGCCGCCTGGGGTCGTTGTACACCACGCCAGAGTCCTCCCACAGCGACACGTTGAGCGCCATGTCCAGCCGCACGCCGGTGCCCGCCCGCATCACCTCCACGAAGCTGTCCACAGCGCCGATCCTCGCCAGCCGCTGGTCCCAGTGCCTGCCCGCAGTCTCCAGAAGATCATCCCCGCCATCAATTCCACCTCGCCGAGAACGCAGATTGGACAAAATCCCCGATGCAGCCCAGCCCTGGGACGGGTCCCCGCCCCGGGCCCGCGCCCCGACGTCCCGGCCGCGCAACAGCCCGACGGCACCGCCACCGCCGTCGGAAATCCTGGACGACAGCGCGAGGAGGCAGACCAGGGAGAGGCATCCCACGGCGAACGTGACCCTGATGAACTGGGGCATCGCCGGGCCGCGCCCGCGCGCGACCGCCCATGCCCTGGCGCCCACCGCTGCTGCGGCGCCCGCGGGCACCCCATCGGCTCTCTCCGCCGCACCGCCGTCCCAGTGCCCCACGCCCGCCCTCTGGGTGATCCCGGCGCCCTCCGACCTGTCCAGCAGCACGTCCAGCCCGCGGTCGCTCTTGCCCAGCGCCCACGGCCATGTCAACACCCTCCGCATCTTGCCGCCCCGCATGGGGGCCTCACATCGGTGGGCTAGCTCCCGGATGCCCTCCCCGCGGCGAGCGCTCCTGCCCACCCTCATGTTGCCGCCGGGCGCCGCGAGGGGTGGGCCAGCGAGGGCGGGAGGACGGCTTTCGGTGGGGCGGAGTCCCCAGCAAGGATACCTGGACCTCGAAAGCAGGTGTTGAGGAAGGGAGGCCAGTCCGACGTGCGGCCCAGCCCGGAAGGGGCCAGCGGGACCGAAAAGACCGGCGCCGGGCCGTTTCCGAGTCACGTGGCCCGGAAAAGGTCTGTGTCCGGGACGGGTGTCTCCGGCCCGGCGTGCCGTCCACCCGCTGCTCGACGGCGGCGTCCTGGAGGTCTGGCGGCCTTCAGGGCAGAATTCCACTGTGGAGGACAGTTCAGTTCAGGGGGCTCCTTGGGCGGCTGGGCGGCCGCCGGCAGTACATTGCGCAGAACACCGAAAATGCCGCTCGAATTACTAAGCACACGCCCGATGGGCAGCATGCTGCGAGATGGGGGATGCCAAACGGATGCGACGGATCCCAAAGTGCGTGGCGTTCGAGCCGCGCACGTGTGTTTCGCAATGTGCCCGAGGGCCACCCAGGTGCTTACGAGCAAGTGTCAAGTACACTAAATATGGGCGGGGCTTGGGGTCTCCCGCTTGCTGGGATCCGGGGACGTCGAACACGGCGGGTATTTGTCGTCGCCGGGGTCTGAACGCGGACTGGAACGCTACTTCATGTGAATACGCCGTGCAAGTGCGGTACTTGTTGAACAAGAGCGCAGCCATTGAGAAAACTTGCACGGTGCCCCACTGTGGGCGAATTGCAGCCGGCCCAAAAGATCTTCCAGCGAATGTCTCGGAGCCCTCTAGCGCACGAGGTGCCTGATGTGCCTTGGTTTATGCCTCCCCAGGAACCACTTCACAAGGGATGTTCATGGATTACACAAGAAACAAGCAAGCGAAAGATACTTTGCTTTATTGTTAGGGAAGATGTTGTGTCAATTTTGTTACGCTTAGCATCAATTTGATGTTAAGCTCATGCCCCTCCCTCAACTCCGCCGGCGAGTCGGTGAGGCCGTGCATGTAGACATTGCAGTAGCGGAGCTCCGTTTGGATGTCAAGGAGCTCATCCAAGTGGGCAGGCCGCACTGAGGGGGTTGCATGGGAGTATCGCCGGGTTATATCCGGTCGCATGAGCTCCAGGGTGGGCGGGATTTGGCGGCAAGAGGGCCAACTCGGTTGAGAGGGCAAGGGAGCGCGGATAGAAGGGTTCGGCCTCGGCGTGCGGGCGTATGCCTGGTGGGGAAGAGGGATAGGTGGCCCGGGAGAGCAGGGCCGCAACACCTGGAGAGTCCAAGGTAACAGGGGGCCGAAAAGGTGCAACAGCACCGGGCAAGGGCGATCGGCAGCCGGGGCGGGAAGCTGAGTGGGTAAGGAAGCTCTGCGCTAGCCCCGACAATGGGCCCGCAGTCTCCACGAACCCCAAGGGCTCGCACATCACCTGAGGGTAGACGTGGCCGCTCAGCT